GCCAGCGACTAAACAAAAAATTACATAAACTCTTACAAAATAATGGCCAGAGGGCGATAATCTTTCTCGCACGTAGAGTGCTAAATGTGGAATAGATTGCGTTGGCGGTTTAAAATCAGTATAAGTATATTAAAATATTTTTATCACATGTTCCAAATTAGGCACTAAGCGGTTCTATAGTTCTTACATTCGGCCATTCTGCATATAATCCTATCCCCCAGGCTCTGCGATGAACTGAAAGGAAAAAAATATCAACTTCAAACTTGTCATGATCCGTTGATCCTCTAGGTAATAGTGTTTGTGATACTCATTGATCTATCGAGATCTATTGTTCTCGTCGCGATAGTAACGGACGTCTGTTGACATATGGAGATCCGTTGATCTCCTTATAATGGTTATAGAGATCCGTTGACCTCTGGAGATCCATTGATCTCCTTGCCCTGGTTACAGAAATCCGTTGATCTCTGGAGATTCCTTTATTTCTTCATTTTAAAGATTTCCCGATTTTTCAAAGAAAATTATGTACAATCTTGAAATTGGTTTAATATTTCCTTGTATTTCAAGTTTTTGTTTTCACTTGAAGGATGTCAATAACATTAATATTAGCAGGATTCTCTTTCCTGGTTTGTTCTATAAAATCCCTCTGTCAATAACTCCTGAGACAAATATTTATCATCGATACTTATCTTTTCGAGCAGTCTAACATTCCTGTATTCAGTATTTGTAGAAAAGCGTGTATCCTACAAATCCTATAGAGAAGAATTTTATCTTGTATATAGATCGAGTTAAGATCAAATTTCTTTAGAGCTGCTTCAATGAAAGTCTTTGCACGTCCCGTATCATCGTCCAGTGTGCGTCCGTTTGTGAACATTAATTTGATAGCTGCATATCGATACCCAGTGGACGTCCGTTTTTGGACATACGTTTAAGTACAGGTTTAGTATAGGGTGCTCATATCTCTTTTAACCCAATGCTGGGACACTCAGGTCCGGCGAAAGCCAGGCCGGGCCTCAGGACAATTCTCTAGATCGCGGGTCCCGTGACAAAAAAAAGCTCCTCAAACAAAAACTTTTCCTCTTCTACTTGAATTGAATTTTCTAAAAGAAAAGGTCCTCAAGCAAAAAACTTTTCCTCCTCTACTTGAATTGCTTTTTCTAAAAAAAAAGTAAAACTTTTCCTCCTCTCCTTAAACTAAGTTTTCTAAAAAAAAAACCTCCCCAACCAAAAACTTCCCCTCTTGTCTTCTGTCCAATTTCTCATACAATACAAAAAAATCCAGTTGCCGGGCCCCCATTTAAGTCCGGGCCCCGGGAATTAGTCCCGGCTACCCCCCCCCCCTCTAGTCGACCTTGGGGACACTGAACAATCAAATACAACATTGATGAACTTTGGAAAGATAAAAATATAACATGAGACATTATGTATTACATTGAAGACCTCTCTGATTTTCAAGACTTGAAATTGCAAAGTGCATCAACTACAATACATTGTGATAAAATTTATTCAAACCTGGAAATTGGACGTATACCAAAATTATATTCCAAAACACAACATGAGCTGAATTCATTTCACTAGCTGAAGCAATACAATAAACTGTATGGTTTCAAAGATTTCTCTCCGATTTTCAACACTTGGAAAGAGCACACCAACTGGTAATAAATTGTGATAATCAATCTGCCTTAAAGCTTGCCAGCAATCGATAACTACACACAAGATCTAAACATTATTAAATTATATTTTATTTTTAAAGAAAACTACGTAATACAAAGATTGTTGATATTCACTTTGTTTCAAGTTGCAAATATATTTACAAAGACTTTATTTAAACTTGGACATTGGACTTATACCTACCTACCTACCAAAATTATATTCCCGAAATGTTTACATTAAAGGATCATAAAAGGGGACTGTTGAAGATGGGTTATGTTATTTTTGTTATAAACACCCTGTAATAGTTATATTTTTAATATAACAATGTTGAATTTGTCATTTAATAAAATATTCACATCAACCTAGGGTTGCCACCTGTCCTTTTTTGAACAGGACAGTCCTTTTTTGAAACAAAATGTCCTTGCGACTTATTAAAGCTTAAAATGTCCTTTTTATAGCAAATATCCTCTTTTACGACATTAAGTCAAATGTCCTCTTTTACTACATTAAGACATGTCTTTTTTGACCGACAGCATATATTTTTGAAAGGAACATGGTTTGTAGAGAAATATATACGCTTGTTCCTTTTTTTTCTTTTTGCTTTTTTTTACAAGCTCAACAAGACGAGGAGGATTTTTTTTGTTTAGCACATTGCCTTTTTTTTCAGCCGCCGACCTCTTTTTTTAAAGCTCAGCAAGAGGAGAAAGATTTTTTGTTCGATGCTTTTTTTTTAGAAGTTCACAGATGGATGAATGAGGACGTTGTTGCTTTTTATATACCAGAGCCCCTGTCGCAGCATCATAGTCCTTTTTTCACTACATCAAGCTTAGATTTTATTAAAAACTATATATAGTAACTAAAACTTAGGTAAGCCCGTATTTATAAACAAAACTCAGCTGAGTCGGACTTGGGTAAGTCGTCCTTGAACGAAAATCGAAGTTCGGTTATATCGCGTGAATTTAGGATGGATAGTAACAAATCCGTAAATGTACATAACAGTTACATATTTGCTAATATCCATCTCTAAATTCCAATCAAACACCACAACCACCTAGAACTTTAGAGACGTTGTAACCGAACTTCGATTTTAGTTCAAGGACGACTTACCCAAGTCCGACTCACGTAAGTTCTGTTTATAAATACGGGCCTTAGATTCCTAACGCAGTGGACATCCATGTTTGGCCACTATTTATTTAGCTTATCAGATAATACCACTGAACTATATAATTAAACTGGAAGAATAAAGCCGATCAACAAAATCATGCCACATAGCAAGGTGATTTTTGACACTCTGGCGCCCACACGTGCGTATCGAAATGTACTAAAAAGGAATATCAAAATTAAATTTAACACTTATTACATTCAACTACGACATCTTTTAATTTAAGAACATCACTTAAAAATGATCTTCGATTCATACGCAGCTGAAACAAATGTTCCAATATTAATAATTATTAAAATAGCGCGCTATTAATAAAAAATAATATAATTTATCATAGTACGCCAGAGGGAAACGTGACGTAATTGATCGAAATTGACAGTCTGGCGTCCAAATTGTCATGCGCATCGGCCGTTTTTTCACCTATGTCGGCTTAGAAATTAGAGGAGTAGGGTTATGTCATATAGCCATCCAGTTTTAATATCAAGGTCGGTGGGTAATTCCTGTACAGTACGACAAGATTAAGATGGCAAGTCAGAATTAGATGCGCACTGGCAAATTTAAAACTGAGAGTAAAGCTCAGTACTCAGAACAGCGGAATGCGGATTGCGAAATTTCACACGTGACCAAAGATTCGCCAGAAATTAATCATCGTACTCATAATGGCGAATTTCGCGTTAAATTTAACCTAAAATACCATTGAAAACAAAGAATTTAGACGAAGATGACAATTGCAGTTTTGTTTACTTTTGAGTTTTGATTGAATTTAAAAAAAAAATGAGTCGAGAAGGTACAATAGTTTGTTTGTTGGATGTAAATTATAAAAATAAATTTAAAAAAAAAGAAGCGAAAAACCAAGGCGCATTTCACAACATAGGTACATGCAATGTTACGATTTAAACTTTAGTTTACCTCAAAATAAATAAATAAATCTCTTCGTGGTCAATCGCGTAGAACGGGCGCAAGACGTAAACAGACGTGTCGTGAGTTCGATTCTCGGTCAAGAGTTTTTTTAATGTAATAAAAAATATTAATAATCTAAAATACTGTGTGGTTATATTTTTTTATGATTTCGGTTGGCATTGAAGTCTTTTTTTTTGGACGATTTGATAATGCTTGTGTTATCACGTCATTTTCACTCGAAATATTTTGACAATATCTAAGTAAATGAACGAAATGAACATTATTCAATGAAGTGATCGATGATTTGGTATTTTATAATAGCCTAATGGACATGGTTTACTGATTAGAAATAAAACTAATTTTGTATTAACGTTTCTAGATATTTGTACGTCAGTATTTTACCTCTGGAACAATATAATACAGGCAGTGGAGTAGCGTGGTCCAAAGGGTGGAGGCGGCGAGGCTTTTTTGAGTCACCCAAAACCTTTGAAAGGGGCGCCAAAGGTGCTCGCTAATCGCTAGGTCCATAATTAGTATTATGTTGCCGATCGGGGGCACACCAGTTCTTATATCAAGACGGCAGGTATAATCCTGACGATATAAACTGGACCACTCTGTATAATAAAAATTAATAATTTTTTAGTGTTCTACTTTCAAATGATTTCTAATTATCATTCTTTTACAATCTGAATTGTTGCCTGTATGAAGGTACCGAATCCAAGGGTCCGGAATTAAAAAATCCCATCGTTGTCCGGGATATTTACTAATTTAATTTAAAATAAATTCTGAAACAGAGATATGATTCCCCACTTGACCATTCACTGCGGAAACAGTAACAAAGCCTACATCACGCCTACGCCTACTACAGATCTCCAGGGGGTTAATTTTTGAATCATTCGCCACCCTGACGTATGCGAAAACGTATACTTTTACCTAAACTGTATTTTTGACTTACTCGATTCGTTTTCGCATGCGAAATTGACGTCACTTGCATGACATGCAATGACATGACGTTTATTCATCTTGGTAAAGCAGTTTCATACTAGGTTTCTATTGGTAGATCATCGAATTTTGCTGAAATTATCTACAACTCTTCGTTAGGTTGATCTGTTCGCAAAATATTTATCAAAGGACATTCCAAAATATACTTTCCTTGACGCATGCGATAAATGTCATATGTCAATTGACGCATACTACTTTTAGCGAATGGTTTCAAAAATTAACCCCCTGTTCAGCGATCACACAAGAATACAAATGGCCGAATAGCCTGGACAGCTGAGGATTCCAAAATAAAAAAATAGAAGAAATAAGTTTGAGGTTAAATTAAATGTCAATAATTAAAAAAGAAGAAATAATGTTGAGGTTAAATTAAATGTCAATAACTGTCAAACTAAAAATTAGTAAATAAAAAATAAAAATCGCCCACTAATATTAATTTGTTTCAAACTCCTATTACATTATGTCTCATTTGCAGAGCGGCAAAGTGGATATATCGTTAATTCAAGCTTCTGCCCGAGCGAATCTTATAAACCTTTTGGAAAAATGTCCTGGAAGAAAAGCTCTAGTCTGGGATAACAGCATAGCAGGTCCAGTAGGCTTAGTAGCGCAATATGCTATTCTAAAAGAACACCAAGTCGTTAAAATGTTCCCTTTGCGAAATATGGCACTACCAGAAACCGATGTAGATCATATTATTTTTATATCGAGGCCTAAATTGCAGTTAATGGACTATATTGGTAGGTAAACATTAATTTTAAATAAATTACTTCGAACCTTATCTTATTATAATTACTTATTCTAGCTCAGAACGTACATACAGACAGCAAAACAAGAACAGGCAGTAAAAAACAGTTTCATTTATTTTTCGTTCCCAAGAAAAGTTTACTTTGCATGGAAAGATTAAAGCACAAGGGTGTTTTTGGAAGTGTCATGCTTATTGATGAATTTAAGTGCCAACTTTTTCCATTTGAATCTGATCTTATTTCAATGGAAATATCTGAAGTTTTTAGGTAGTTTTTTTAAACATAAGTATATGATATATGTTTTTATTCTTTCAGTATATATTATTTATTTAAAAAACATATTCCTAGACGATCTAGAAAAAAATTATAAAGTTCTATATAAATGAATATTTATTTGATAATAATTTTTACTAATACAATTATTATAATCGGCATAGATTCATTATGAGGTACTTAAATACATTGTAATTGCTTACTGATTAAATTGGGAGCAGTAGCAATTTAATAATAATAATACTCTCCCTAATGCACCCCCTTGTGAGTGAATTTCAACCCCTGAAGCTGACTGAGCGACTTGTGAAGGGGAAGGGATGGCTATTATTATTATTTGCTGTGGTGCTCTGGGGCGACTTAAATATGATTGATGGTGCCATTTGACTACTGTTAATATAAATAAATAATACCAATTTTGTTACATATGTTAAAAATAAATATTTTCCAAGACAGTGGCTGATCGACCTCAATTTAGAAGCTTAACATGTCAAAATTTAGACATACAGGAAACAGAAACATCCAAATATTTAGGTATAATTATAGACCAGCACTTAAAATGGGACTGCCATATAATATATAGCAAAAAAACTTAGATTTCTGATTTATAAATTTTATCTTCTAAAACAATTTCTCAACCAGGATCTACTAATAACATTATACTACCGTCTAGTAGAATCTATACTACAGTATGGAATCTTAGTTAAATGTTATTCAAAACAAAATCTTAAAGTTAATATATAAAAGAGATAGATTGTGTCCCACCATAAAACTTTATATAATGAAAAAATTAGCAATTTTAGATGTTTATATATTCATGCAGTGTGTTGTTATATACAAAAAAATGCATTTTTAAAAAGAACATAGACATAACACTAGAACTGCAACGAACATGTGCATTAAAGAACCAAAACCAAATAGTGAGGTTTTTAAAAACAGTGTAAATTATCTAGGGACAAAGTTCTATAACACTCTACCTCTTCATATAAAATTATTAAACAAATTAAAAATTCTGTAAAGTTAGCAAAATATACATTTTCCAAAATAATGCAAAGTTTATCAGAATATTCCAAGAATAAAGGTCTTAATACATGGATTTTTTTTTAAATAGTTTTTTTTTCTGTTTCTTGCATAAATTGTTCAAGTTTGTTTTTTATTTAAAAAAAATTAAATATAATTAAAATAAAATTTTAATTTTTGTCAACACATACAGGTGTTCTCACCTAGGTGCTTGTTATATAATTGGTTTCCATTATTGTAACTTATTTATTATTGTAACTCATAACTATTAAACTATTAAAAATTATTTAATAGTTCTTCAAAATGGCTTATTACTCGAATAATTTATGACACATTTTAGAGAATTTATGGTAGAAAATGATCCCACCTACCTTTATCAAACTGCACAAGCCATAATTTACCTTCAAAAAATGTACGGTCCCATTCCGAAGGTATGGGGTAAAGGTAATGCAGCAAAGCAGGTTTGGGATCTAGTAGTGAGACTACAAAGAGAAAAAAGCCATAGTGAAGAAATGAAAAACAATCAACAATCTTGCATTGATCAGATGATCTTAATCGATAGATCTGTCGATCTCATTACACCTTTGGCCACACAGTTGACCTATGAAGGTAAGTTAACTCAATCTAGAGAGAATTAAGAAAGTTACTGTGGATTTTTTGTACACAAGAATTTATTTTATTATCTATTTCAAAGGTAATATAATGTAGTAGTAAGTAAGGTTATAAAGAAATGCCCAAAATATGATGTCTATAGAAATGCCTTATCACATGAAAAATAAAATGTTAAGATCAAATTTATATGTCTATAAGTAGTAACCCCTTACACTTAAGTAGTAACTTGTGTTCATAGTAGAGGACGTTAATAGTAGAGGGCGTTAATAGAGGGCGTATTTTTTTTTTTCAGTTTCCAATGATAGGGGAGAGGGCAGGGTTGCCAGATCTTTGTAATGAAAAAGCGGGACAGTGTCGTTTCAGCAAAAGGGCCACAAATTTTTTAGAGCCATGCTTAATTTTGTTAGGAATTCAACCAAAACTTAAAAATGAGGACAAAAAACAAAATGTCTTTATTAGAATAACAAAATAAACGCTTTACAATAAAACAACAGAAAACATCATTATTTATACCTTATATATACAAGGTGTTACTTAATGATAGGCGGTAATTCCAAGGGCGCATGCTTGAACCAAGTAGAAAAGTTTAACAATCGAAGTTAACTTGATCTTATTGTTAATTTTAATAAAAGGGGTTTTTATTTTTTCCTCAAAAACGAAGTAAGATAAAAAAAAGTTGTATTTTTAGCTGCTTAATCGAAAAAGAAATATATAAAAGTTGAAAAGTCAGTGGCATACATTTTTTTGTAAATATTATTCATAAGACTGCTCCTCATTGCGAAGCCACTGAAACTCATAATTATCTTCTAGTCAGTGTAAACTTAGCGTCTTATCACAATGAAGAACACTGCCAAATTTCAACTAAATATAAAAATGGATCTCTGAGATATTAATAAAAAACCTATTCCTTTTAAACTTTGACACCTGTATCAAACCACACTTTTAAGAAACATTTTTATATAAACGTTTATACTTGAAATTGGTCCAGCAATGCGCCCTTGGAATCACAACCTATCATTAAGTAACACCCTGTATAAATAAACGTTTCAGAACAACACATCAGAAAACATAATTATATATACCTACCCTATACGGTAGTGGCCATAGAACATCTTCCAATACCCCTTGACACAAGTGTGTGTGAAAACTACAAAGAGCCAGCACTAAATGTTTGATCTACAATGCTTGAGAGGCCGGAAAATAATGGCAAATAATACGACCGGAAAAGAGTTGCATTTTCTGCTACTTCTGCGAGAGAGTGGAAAAGGCGGGAAAACCGGGACAATTTACGTGAAAAGCGGGACTTGGAATTATTAAAAAAAGGCGGAGCAGATTAGCAGAAAGCGGGACTGTCCCTCCTATGGCGGGACGTCTGGCAACCCTGGGATAGGGTGGAGGGTTTGAACACTTTTCGGTCTTTTGTATATAACTTTTTATTTAAACACATTTTATTAGGTCTTTGTGTGTTAAGCCATACAGTGTTCCTTAATATACATATATTTTCTATTAAATCAGGGTTGACTTTTATAAAAATTTTAAAATAATTATCTAAACAACCCCAATACATTTGTTCAAATCCTCCCTTGGCTGGTGTGCCTTTGAACAGAAAAGGGGAGGGTTTGAACACGTCCAGAATGAGCTCAAAATAAAAAAAAATAAATAAATAACATTTAGGTACATATTTTATCTTAAATCAAATTTATCAAAACACACATCGTTAAATCTGAATATTTTTGTAGCTCGCAATGTGCCACTAGTGATTGAGGGTTGAGATAACTTTAAAATAATGTCTGACAAAGAAATAAGAGACACGTCGTCTATTTCAGGGAAACAAAAGATATTGTCTCCTGTTTTTCTGAGAAATTTAACATTCAAATCAAGTTCTAATCTCTCTTCTACTTCAGCCTCATAATGAACTATACTTTTTTTTTTGTATTAAACTTCACTAGAACAAAATCGTTTACTATAATAGTTTCTAAGCTTGTCGTATCTAATTTTTCGGAAGTTTCCAAATCTTCTTGATTATCATTATCAGTGCTGCTATCATGGACAGACATATTATCCTCCTCTGCACTACTACGTCGCTCTGCAGAACTTTTCTCTTAACAACTTTTTTTATCATTTTCCTTAATTTTCTTTTCTAATAAAGAAATTACTTCATTCTCTAAGCTACTACCTTTTTTCTGTGGTTTTTTCTTTAGGACGATCCCATTTTTTTTGTTTCATAATTTTTTTTTACAATTCGCATAGTCTCCTCCATATTTGTGAATACCTGATTTGTGTTATACTTAAAAGTATAATCTTTGTCATTTATTCTGTAATATAAAGCTGTGTGTTTTACATTGTTTTGTTCAGCAACAACTCCCAAAGAAATCTTTCAATCAACCACATCAGTTATTGCCTTCTGCATGTCCGCTTCATTAAATTCGACTCTCTTGTCCTTTTACTTGTACACTCGGGGCATATTGATGTTTTACCACTGAAATAAATAAATAATTAAATAAATTTAGGTGTCAATTCAAAATATTATTTCCTAATGGGGATGTTTTGAACAGTCTGGGTAGGCTTTGAACATCGTTCAAAGTCTCCCCGGGCTTGTAGTTCAAAGCCTCCCGATGTCACTTTTTCTCAGAAAAAATTGAATTACATTTTATGCTTATGAATATTTAAATATAACTGTTTTGTAAACTTACCTCAAAAATATAGGAATATGCCCAAACAATAGAACAATTAAACACCATTGACAGATTAAAAAATATATATGTCGTAAGGATGATCAAAATAAACAAGGAATTTGACGAAAATATATTCACCTAACAATGGCCAAACATCTCTGGTAAATCCTCGCGTAGCCAGTGCATTCCTATTTTCACAGATGACAAGAATATATTTTAGTAGAAAATATTGTAATTGTTCAAAACCTCCTCGTGTTCAAACCCTCTCCTCTCTCCCCTATATAAAATAAATAAATATAGATACATCAACACTCTTCTATTTTGAATATATTGAATGAATTGTTATGTAATTTTAACACATCTCATCAAATTAGATTGACAACAAAAATATTTTTTAGGTTTAATAGATGAAATATTTGGCTTAAATAATTCTACAGCCAATTTTCCCATAGATAATTTTTTAAGTACTGAGGAAAGAACGACGGAATCATTATCAGAAGATAAAAGACAAATGATCCTTAACTCAGCCGACAAACTATTTGCAGATATAAGAGACAAAAATTTTAATGCTGTAAGTTATTAATTTGTTTTGAAAATATTCATAACGTAATTTAAGGGATACATTATACCACGACATCATGTTTGTTATATAAAATGCATGCTAATTTTTGTTTTGTGGTTTTATTTTGCCATTTAGACCATTTTTTTTTTTTTTGATAAATTAACTAAATTAAATGAAGTAAATTAACTAAATCAATAACAGAGCGGGAGGAACAGATTAGCTTCATCTGGCCTCTTCCAAAATTGGAAACATTTAAGAGACATTTTTTGGCGATGTTATTAACCTGCAGGACTTTCGATGAGCTAGAGGCAGTCCTTAGACACATCTCAGCGACTTGTCAATCAGCAGGCTTTATAATGAGCTGAAAGGCAAGTCCTATATACCCATGGAGGATGCAGAATGCGCCTAAGTGATATGAAGAAACCCACTCTCCTTCACCTTACAGATACAGAAGTAAATTATTGATTCAAATTTATTGTTTTGTAGGTGGGAACTTATCTGTCAAAACAAGCAAAATCAATTAGTGCCCAATTGGAAAATACACAAGAAAAGTCAGTTCAAGAGATGAAACTGTACGTTCAGCGGCTGCCGCAAATTCTTGCAAAGAAAAAGCAACTTGCAGCTCACACAGCCATCGCTGAATGCATTAAAGAAGTTACAGACGGTTATGACTTTTTAGACACTTTACAGGTAAAACGATATTTATTCTGTTTTTATATTACTCTATTATCGTTTTTTTTTTTATAGGCTGAGCAGGAATTCCTGAATTGTATAGAAGTTGATAAACCCAGTACATACATTGAAGAGATGATAGCTCAGAGCAAACCGTTGATTAAAGTATTGAGACTTATGTGTTTGCAATGCATTGCTAGTTCTGGATTGAAACCTAAAATTTTGGAAAGTTATAAAAGAGATTTGGTACAAGTAAGTATATATAAAAGTCTAAGGGAGGGTCTACTATGGATAAGTTGAATTTATCATTTAGGTGGCTAGTAACCTACATTGGAAGTTCTTGTTTAAAATACATGTGCCTTAATTCGATTACCACAATTCCTTTTAGTTTTATAAAATTACTTATTGTTTTCTTTTTACAATTTTAACATTATCAACTTCCCTCTACGATCTCTTCACTGCTCCATGCTAATTGGTCATTGGCAATAACAGTGCTGTTAATCATTATTTAATAGTATGTTCATGATCTGCTTTGTTTTTTCTTCGACAGCTCTATTTATTCACGGGCCTTGCCCACTTTCAGTACAAAGTTACAAATAAAAACAAAAAAAAAACAAATAGAGTCAATCTAAATAATATGTCATGATAATGATAAACTAACAACAAAAATCATAAATATATTAACATGTACAAAAGCAAAACAACTAATATTAAGAATAGGGAATTGTTTACACACTATTTTAACACCCTTTAACACCCGCCACTATTAGTTCTCATGTAGGGCTTATGAAAAGTGTTTATTGATCTTGTGCTTTCAGTTGGGACTGCCAACAACATGCTTGAAATCAATGTCATCCATATAATTAATGAGCTTAAAAAATAATTTCAGATCTGCCTGTTCTCTTCTTCTTCTCAAAGTTGGTAAGGAGAATGTCTCTTACAGTGCTGCAAAATCATAGGAATATTTTATTTAAATGCTAAGTAGCGAATAAATTTTCTCTGAACCTGTTCTAATCTATAAATGTGACAGGTATACTGGGTTTCAGACTGAAGAGTAATATTCTAGCAGAGGCCTAACAAGACTACAGTAAAATAACCTGATAGTATTAATACTTATAAAGTCTGATGTGTTTCTCTTTATAAACCCAAGCATACCAAATGCTCTGGATACTATTGTGTCAATGTGATTGACAAATGAGAGTCCATAATAACACCCAGATTTCGAATGGACGCTGGTGTACCCTTGTGATATTATATTGAAAATCAATTACTGTTGATCTTCCTAGTAAAGGATATCGAGTGATACTTAGTGATGTTTAGGTGTATAGCATTATTTGCACACCACTCATCAAGCCTAGCCAGATCAGACTGAAGTTTGAGACAATCCTCAAGAGATGAAACTGCTAGGTAGCACTTTAGGTCATCAGCAAAGCATAAAAATTTGACAAACTAGAAATATTCTGAGATATCATTTATAAATAATAAAAATAACAAAGGTCCCAATTGGGACCCTTGGGGGACTCCAGATGGATTGGGAATGTTTTTAGATCTGTAATTATTCAATTTAACAGTTTGGAATCTTTCAGATAAATAACTCGCCAGCCATTGCAATAATGTTCCCATGATCCCAGCAGTCTCCAGTTTATTTAACAAAAGTTTGTGATTGACCGTCTGAAATCTGGTTAATTTCAGTGCTGATATGATATTGGGTAATACAAAAAGTATTATGAGGCGAAATCCGGTGATACGAGCGAATGTTCTAATACAGTGATCTAAATGCTTGGCCAAAAACTTAACAGTGCAATGTGGTTTACAGCAATATTTTGATGTAGAAATCGTGACTTCTATTGGTTAAAATTTTTTTTTCGACTCCTACTACTATTCTGCATAATTTTTGCACTACTCATTTGAAATACCCGTTGCTGTTTGGATATCTGCTACAATATTTATTCCATCTCGTCCAGGATACGTTCTGAGAATTCTTCCTTTCAGCCAGTAGTTTCTGGGGGTGTTACTCTACAATTATGATAATGTTGGTTTCTTTTAAATTTCCGGATCCCTCAAACAATTTAATCCTTTTATTCGGAAGGGGAAGATTTTCTTTATGGATTCAGCAAAAGCCCAAATCTTTAACAGATATTTTTTTCAGATCAACCTACAGATATTGTCAATAGTTGTGTATTTTTTTGAGGCGCTAGATTGTTCTGCTCGTAAATCGTTTGTGATCATTTCTCTGCATTTGTTAGTGACTCAAAATCCTTTTTTCAATAAAGGATACGTGAGGAATTTTACATTGATGCGTTGCACACCTTGAACACATGAACATATTGAAATATTAATGATTTACTTCAGACGTTGGGACAGACAAACGAGGAGACTACTTTCATTGTTTATTTTTGTATTAACTTTACAACGAAATCAAAATACAAGACAAGCCCCTCATTGCTGACAATTGACAGAGCTCGTTCGTCACCGTATATTGCCAACCTTCAGTAGTGGCTACTGTTCGTAGATCCGGAACATAACACATATTTCCAGTGGAGTGCAGATGTAAGTGCTACTTCAAACGGAGGTTATGGCACAATTAAGCGAAGCACAAGAGAGGTCATATGACAAGCCTGTGTTTAGTTAGACCTTAACGCCCTCCTCGTTTGTTTGCAGAATGATTAGTCCTGTATTTCTTATTAGATATTCATGTATTCTCTTGTATGCAGTGTCAGCCAATGTCCTGAAAGTTATGCCTTATTTAGTAGTCTAAGAGCTCGCTGTAAACTCTTGTCCAAGTTATGTAAACTCTATTCAAACCTCTGTTAAAAGTAATATTAAGGCCTTCTGGAATTTTGTTAACAGCAAAAAAGGGAATATTGTTATTCCAGATAAAATGCATTCAGATGGATTTGAAACTTCCTCGGGCTCGGAAATAGCTAACTTATTTGCCGACTATTTTTCTTCAGTCTACACCAATCAGAATATCGATCTGTATGAATGTAACATTGAATCGACACTTAACGTATGCTCATATCATATTCCAATTTCAACTATTTACGAGAAATTAGCTAAACTTGATACAAGAAAGGGACCGGGTCCTGATGCGATTCCCCCCTGACTCCTGAAAAACTGCAGCTTTATATTGTCTCGTCCTCTGTTTTTTTATTTTTAACTAATCATTGGATACGGGAGATTTTCCAGATTACGGGAAACTCTCATATGTGACACCAATATACAAGTCAGGTAAAAAATGTGACATTAAAAACTACCGCCCCATATCTAAACTTAGCATAATCCCAAAGCTCTTTGAAAGCATCATAACAGACTACTTATGACTGCGCTAGTATTATAACACCGCAACAATTTGGCTTTTGCGCATGCAAGTCAACAGAATTGAACTTGGTTGCCTATGCTAACTTTATTTCGGAAGCCCTGGAGATGGGGTGTCAGGTTCACCGTGTCAAAGCCCTTCGAGAAGTCAGTGTAAATTGAGTCAACCTGACACCCCCTCTCGAAGGCAGAAATGATATAATGTTCGTAGAGCAGTAAATTTGTATTAGTATACTTACCTCCCATAAACCCATGCTGTTGTTCAATCAAAATGTTTTTGCAATGCCATGACAAAGGTTTACATAACAATAATTCTAATAATCTAGGTATTGCAGAAAGTAAAACTACAGGGCGATAGTTAACTATGTCATCTTCCTGACCATTTTTAAATATGGGGGTAATGAAACTATCACGCCATTTTGCAGGAAACTGTTGTAATTTCAAAGAGGAATTAAATAAAAACTGTAGTGGTTTGGAAAGAGTGAATTTACATTTTTTCAAAAAATAAGCAGGGATTCCATCTGGACCATAACTCAATTTATATTTTAGGGAATTAATACCATCATAAACATCACTTAAGGAAAACCTTATAAAGGGAATATCAGGCTGGTTAAAAGCATTATAATGAAGGTTTGGCTCATCTACAATATCTTTCTTATAAACACTGAAGAAATGCGTAGCAAACAAATTACTGATGTCTTTAGGTGGCATATTGTTGCAATGGATTAAAAGCTATCTTCTTAATAGAACTCAAATAGTCAAAGTAAAACGTTACTATTCTCATCATCACTCTGTTACTTCTGGAGTTCCCCAAGGTTCTCATCTGGGACCCCTTCTTTTTAATTTGTTTGTCAACGATGTAACTTCCTGTTTTCGGCACAGTAATTTTTTACTTTTTGCAGATGACCTAAAATTTTTCCAAATCGTCAACAACTTTAGAAATGCTATCGATTTACAGTATGATATTAATCATTTATCCGATTGGTTCAAATACAATGGCACGGATTTAAATGTGGGAAAATGTCACATTATTCGGTTCCATCGTTTTCAACAGCCCACTATATTTGACTTCACAATCAATGGCCAACTTTTAGATAGTGTTAAACAAATTAAAGATCTTGGAGTTATTTTTGACACAACCCTTAGCTTTAACCACCACATCTCTTCAGTTACAAGTAAATCTATGAAAATGTTAGGATTTTTTAAAAGAACGACCCGCGACTTCACTGATATATCTGCTATTAAAACTATTGTATTTTAGTTAGGAGTCACCTCGACTATTGCTCTTCAATATGGTCCCCACATCATGTAACGTATAAATTAAAAATCGATCGTGTTCAGAACAATTTCCTTAGGTACATAGCCTTTAAATTACAAACGTTTTATGATTATGCTACAATGGAGCAGTTTTTAGAAATACCGTCTCTGGAAACCAGGAGAAAACGTAGAGACCTGATTTTACTTTTTAATATTGTGAATGGAAGATATGATTGTCCTGAAATTGTATCGAAAATTAATCTTTTTGTTCCTACTCGTAATACCAGGCAATCACAATTATTTTATATTCTTTTTTATAGACTTAATAGTACTTTTAACAGTTGTATTCCTCGGATACTTAGACTGGCAATTTCTCTGGATAATATTATAATATTTGATTCCTCTGTAAATAGATTTAAGCACAACATTCAAAATACACCAATGTAATTTTTATCAACTTATTGTTACCTAAATGGGCTTGCCCGTAAATATATAAATAAATAACTTATAAACGAATAATATCAGTGTTGCCAGTGAATATGGCCCGACCTCACTGTATAAACTGGCATTGCTGATATTATTGGTTTCCTACTCTAATGCTAACTCTGTAGTTTTCACACATACTGGTGCAAACCATATTGGAAAACGTTAAAAAGCAGATACTGTATAAGCATGTTCCCTTTTCATTTTAACATCCAGATTAACCTTAATTGTCTCTTCTTTTGAGATAATTTGTTTCCATTTATAGTTTATTCTGTAACTTGTTGCTAATAGCACCTGAAATATGTTTACTGACAGACATCATTGGTGTTTATTTATGAATTTTTTTTAGGTCTACGGTTTGGAAGCGTTACTGGCTATATCTAAACTAGAAAAAGTGGGACTATTAAAACTTCAATCTAGTACGAGACAGTACACGGTACTGAGAAAAGCTCTACGACTAACTATGGAAGATACGTCTGAAATTAATCCGACAGATATAAGTTACGTTCATAGTATTTATGCACCTTTAAGTATAAGACTAGCGGAACATGTGACAAAGAATGGTGGATTGAAGCAATTGCAAGATGTACTGGGGCTCTTACCAGGTTAGATTTTTCTTTTTATCATTTATGAGATTTTTATTGAGTGATTTTTTTTAGGTCCTACCTTGGACGAAACCCCTTCAGTCAATTCAATTACTAATTCTGATTCGCCGCTTACTATTTTGGTTTTTTTCATCGGAGGCTGTACGTTTGCTGAAGTAAGCTGTTTTATTTGTTTGTTTAGATTGTCACTAAGTGGGGAATTTTACAACAGTTGGCAACTCCGTTGGGGAGATTTTTGATTAAATTTAAGTCAAAGGAACATTGTACTCCTCCGTTTTTCAAAATTCACTTTTTGAAACTACCCTGATCAATTAATAATTAATACATAATATTAATAATAATAATAATCATCAATTAACCTACTAATATAATTTGGTTTTAAAAATCATTTTAATAAAGTTTTTGTATATATATTCCTCAATTTGTGGCAAACAGACTTAGTCTAATGCCATTCTCTCTCTCACACACACATAATAATACATGTTAGTATATAGGTAGTCTCTGATGAATGAATTATGAATCGCAGCGTTGCCAGCTGCTATACATTTTAATGTTTAATCATTGAGAAATATCAACGATTTTAAGAACAATTTTTATACTGAATTGTTAACCCTGCTACTGCACACTTATTTTTCAAGACACAAACTGCACATTAGGGTCTCAATAACCCAATAAATAAAATGGAATTTTTTCAAGTTGATAATATTTTTTTTTTGCTTTTACACATGGAATGGTTAAAGTGGTTATTTGGAAAGCATATAACATATTAAAAAGTAGTCTAAACAAATATTTTTATTTTAAAAATATAAAATTAAAAAAAGGAAAAAAAATGCATGATTTTTAGAAATTCACAAAAAATAACAAAAACTAAAATTTTCGAATTCTTAGTATACAAAACGTTTTAACTAAATATCATTCTTTTTTATTGTGCAATTGAAAAAATTATAATTGCTTAAGTTTTTCTTAGTCAGTCTAATAAATCAGGCTGATAAATCAGTCTCACAGCTCCTACATACCATTGCCCTGTGTTCATTGCAAAACGATTTATGGTACACGCTACAATGCATATTTGTTTTTCTGTTTTTTCCTATCGCAAAAACTGCAACGAACTTTTCGTCTCAAATTTTCGTCATTTGGTGGAGGATCTGGCACAGGCTCATTCAAGATTTCCATTATCTTTTGACGCAGTGATCTAAGCGTTGACAACCGTAGTCGTTCTCTGAGAAATAGTATTACCAAGGACATTCCCAGCTCTTTTAGGAAATTCCTGCGTGTCCGATTTTTTTTTCTGCTCAATCTCCCTTATAGTCTAAGATCCGAAATAAGGTTATAGTCTAAGATCCGAAATAAGGTCGACCTTTACCCATCTGTTTACCGGATGAAAGTTTTTTTTTTATTAAATAAAATATGTTTTTAAATATACCGCAAATGGGTTGCCTAAGAAAATTCGGTCCACACTATTTATTTTCTTAAAGTAAAAAAAAACGACACCCTGTAAAGTATTCCTAAAATGCTTTGACTGTGCCCAAACTTTAATCAGCTCATTGCAGGATAGATTAAAGCTTAAGTTCAAAATTTGGTGTTTTTCTCTTCATCCGTTTTTGAGTTATCTTCAAAATTCGAAATTTGCACTTTTCATCAAATATCTCAAATTAGGTCCATTTTAGGAAAATCATGTATAGAGACAAAATAATAGAGAATGACATCATAAACAACTTTTATCATGATTGCTATACTTTCCTTATCTGTACACAGAGAGGAAAGTAAAAAATGGCCGTGACCGTATTTTCTTAGGCAACCCATTTGCGGTATATTTAAAAACATATTTTATTTAATAAAAAAAAAACTTTCATCCGGTAAACAGATGGGTGAAGGTCGACCTTACATACGGATCCTCGACTATTAGCAAAGGTAAGCAAAATCATCGAATTGATACCACTTCCATCAAGCATACCATAAAACACTAGCATTGACCATCTATTTGTTTTTCGTGCTGTGCTATATGAATGGCACAACTGATCGAAGGTGTCTGTACCACCTTTGGTTGCGTTGTATGTTTCAATTATAGTTGGTTTATTTGTCTCGTGATCAATGGAATCGGCATGGTGTAAGGTGTGAAGGAAACCAGAGTTTTGTTATTATCGAAAGCGAATAACGACGACCCTACTTCCTTTTTTGCCAAGAAACTAGGCGGAATTTCTCTTTTTTCTTTCCGCAAAGTTCCTACAATTGTTAACTTATATTGCTCAAATAGAAGATTAGCCAATGGAATCGAAGTGAACCAATTATCAAAAGTTAGGTTGCGAGGTTCGGACAATTTTCTAACATAATAGGTTGGCACACTTTCTTTATTTTCGCAGTTCACTTTGCCCACATAAGGAATGGCATTTAACATGTATTAGGTCTTAGCATCATTTAGCATTAGTATTTTCAAGCCGTATTTATCGGGTTTGCTGGCCATATAGATGCGGAAGCTGCAACGGCAACGAAAACTCATCATTTGTTCGTCTATTGTGCAATATTCATAGGGTGTGTAGTATGCCTTGCAGTTGCTTATATATACATCCCATATTTTTCTAGTTGGAGTAAATTTATCAGTCTGACGTATATATCTATCAGCCTTGTTATTAAAGCGTAAGTTAGTAGCTAAAAACTAAAATCTTTGCTGGGACATGGTTGTCCGGAAAATTCCAATCCCAAAAGCAAGGGACCAAAATTCTTCTGTGCTGCAATTTGAGACACGCAATGCTCCCGCTATAGAAGACCAATGAAAGCTCTTACCTCAATAACATTGTGGTTTTGGTGTAGCTGAGTTCATTAGTCTCATCGTGGTTTCTGTCAATTTGTTCATTGGTGCGTATGGTAATTGTTTCAATTATATCTTCACTGATAATCAAATTCCAAACTTCTAAAGGGGTTTCTACTTTTCTAGCATCACCGTTAGGGCCGGGCAAATGTAAAACAATGTTGTCAGCTCTCAAACGACCTGTCCTCTGAGGAACTACAGATGACCACAGGTGGTTATTTTTACCTCTTTTATTTCTCGTCGCTCTTGGAGGGCCTCTTGCTCATTGCTTTGTTCATTCTCATAAGCACTGTTTTGTTCACTGTTATTTCCACTAGCTTGTTCACCAGCTTATTCACGTTCCTTTTCACTGTTCTTCATTTTAATTGTCACTGTTCTGTTTATTTTCATCACCCTGTTCACTTTCACAAGCACATCGTCTCCCTCATCCGTTTCATAATCGTTTTCGCTATCCGAAAATTCTCCAATTTCATATCCATTTTCATGATCTGAACCGTTCCCAAGATTATCTACAATCTCTTGCAGTTCCTTATCTGTTACCGGACGATTATCGTTCCTTTTAGCCCTCGACATCCTTCCTACAAAATAATAGAAAATAAAATTTCTAATAGAAAATATGTAACTTAATCCTCCACACTGGGGTTTCAGTAACCCAGGAGCAGCTAAAATCAAATTTTACCACTTACCGATAAGCGATAAAATGTTTTGCGTCCTGCCTTACTCGTATACAACTGTTAACTGAATTTACATGGCACTGGCCCAAGGTCACAATCGAAACACTGTGCACAAGGTAGAATATAAAGTGCACGTGGGTTTTCTAGACCCCAATGTGCAGTAGCAGGGTTAATAATGTGTTCTACCCTTGGTTCTACCTTTCCTTTTAAGAATCGTGTTATTTTTGACCACCCTGTATTAAAATTTCGGTAATTTTTCAGATTTCCGCTTTGAGATTTTTGTCGCAGCAAGAAGACTCTAATGTTGAATTCGTTATTGCCACAACAAAACTCATTAATGGAACAACTTTTTTGAATTCCATTATTGAAAATTGAATTCTTTAATGCTATAAAACATAAATAAATAAATTGTAAGCTTTAATAATTAAAATGTTCATTAGGTTATTTTTATATAATCCATATTCTCGCTGTGATAATTTAGAAAATTATAAATTTTTAAATGTAAATATACCATTATGATTATTATTTCTTTAAGTAAGGTCAAAAATTTAAAGACACGTATTTGTATTTCTCCCGGTTTTATACGTTTTTCGTTGGTTAAAAACGAGTTTAATGTGGCAAATTTAATATCAAAATACTCCGAATTTTAGAGTTGAGAAAACTGTGCATATTTGTGAACTTAAAGTGCAGTTTTGAGGAATCGAATTGATTGTATGTGATTTTAATTTAATAAAGTCATTAATGATAATTTACAAAACAAAAAAAAAAAACCTGTCGCGATAAGAATTTTTAACATTGCTTCCAGAGTGCCAGTGGTGTACCAGTTTTAATTGCTACAATTTACATTAAAATTAAAAGTATCTGTTAAAAAGTCAATAAGTTTTTGAGATCATCTGTCATTTTAATTATTCTTTGTTCGTCTTTTACATTTAACATTGTTGCGTCTGAAATATGGAGAAAAACTTTAGATGCTGTCGTCTAAAGGAATTTACAAATTACTGCTGTATAGTTTGCCATGGCATCTTTCATCTCAGCTGTCTGGAATGTAACAACGAGGTAGTTAGGATTAAAGGGTACAAAATATACTGCTCTAAAAAATGGCAAACAACATTTGACGATGATGAAGACAAAATTAATCACCTGGAAGAGGATATCCAGAAATTGAAGGTTGACTTAGCTGATAAAGACAATTATATATAAAGAGACTGAAACGTCAAACAGCTGATTTTACAAATGCCGCTTCAGATGTGGAACAGGATCTAAACTCGCGACTTATTGAACAAAGAGATTGCAATGCCGAGTTAAATAATGACCTAATCGTACTTAGAAAAAACTGTGATACTTTGCAAAATCAGTTAGTAAATTCTTCTGAATCATACAAAAAACTGAAGAAGGACATTAATGAGTTGTCTACTATTAATAAGCAAATGTTAGGTTCCATAAATACTTTGGAGAATGAAAACACAATCTACACTACAGAATTAAAGGATCTTCGTAATAAACTTTATGACAGTAATTCAACAACAACTACTACCTCCCTAATTAAAACTGATTCATCAAACTCAGTAAATCAAAATCAATTAGTTAAGTTAATAGACGATTTACGTGTTCAGATACAAAATATCCAAACCACAACTAGCAATAGCTCCTCACCTCATGTATCTGATGAATTAATGCTTACTGAACTGGAAGAACGACGGAGAAAATCCAACAATCTGATGGTGTTTAACCTACCTGAAAGTAATGATGACACATCCAAGGTAATCGAAATTGTGCAGGATTTAATTAACTCACCTCCATCAATTATAGGACTACAGCGATTAGGAAAACATAATTCTAAAGGGGCAAGGGCTCTTAAAATAACTTTTAATTCTACTTACCATGTGCATAATATTATTAAAAATCGGTATAAACTTAAAGGAAAGCATATCTTTCTCAATTTTGATCTGACACGGAAACAACTGGAATCAGAAAAACTTGTCAAAGAAGAACTATACAAACGACGTGAAAAAGGAGAAAATAATCTTATTATCAAATTTATAAATGGATGTTGAAAAATAATTAGTTTGAATCCAAAAAACTAACCAATCGGAGCCCACCTTCTATTAAGTTCTCTCCTAGCTCCATTTACTATCAAAACGTTAGAGGATTAAGAACAAAGCTAAGTAAACTTATTTCTGATTTAGCAACTGTTATCCCACGAAATCATTGTTTTCACCGAAACTTGGCTGACAGAAAACTTTAGTGATGCCGAACTTGGATTTGAAAATTCCAACATTTACCGCAAGGACAGATCTGCACAAACCAGCTCATCCTCCAGAGAAGGTGGAGTTCTTATAGCAGTTTCCAAATCTATACGAAGTAGTTTGCTCAACTCTTCACAAGAAATTGAACAGTTATTTGTCCTCATAGGCAATGGTAAAAGTACTGTTATTTTAGGAGCTGCTTACTTTCCTCCAATGTCACCAAATGATAAATATGTTTCGTTCACTGAAAACTTGGATAATTTGTCAGAGACGTATCCTCATGCACAATTTTGCAGTTTGGGCGACTTCAATTTACCTAAGGACATATGGATGTGAAATAATCTATGCTCAACTGCTACCTCTTCCTTGGGACGTAGAACTAGAGCTGATAAAACTGCTGCGATTAATACTATCTCCAATATGTGTGCTTTTCACATTTTTTTTTTCAGAACAATGCAGTTCGGAATGATTACAATAATACTTTAGATTTAGTTTTTTTTTATCAATCTTCAACAACCACCTCTCTTGCTAGTGATGCTCTAATTAATGTCGATAAATATCATCCCCCATTACTTATACACTTGAACCTTGCTGTAAATTATTGTAACTCATCACATGTACCTAATGAGTATTACTATGATTACAAATTCGCAGATTTTCGATCCATTGAACATCATTTGGGATTAATTCAGTGAGATTCACTATTCTTAAATAAATCACTTGAAGAAATGGTAAATATTTTTTTACGGTTCTGTGTATTCTGTCATTCATTCCTTTGTACCATTGAAAAAATTATCCACTCGACGATTTCCCAGATGGTTTTCACCTGAATTGAAAAATCTCATAATTCTAAAGAAGGAAGCACACCTTAGATTTAAATTTAGTGGATTTTCTATCGACTACATGATATTCTCTAACTTGCGCTCTCAATGTAAACTTAAGTCTAAACTGGATTACAATGATTACTTTAGACTTACTGAATCATCTGTTGGTAATGATATTAAAACATTTTGGAATTTTGTTAATTCAAAAAGAAAAAGTAATGAGTTACCCAACGAAATGTACTATAACAATACTAGATGCTGTATGGGTACAGATTTAGCTAATATGTTTCAGGATTACTTTAGCTCAGTCTATAGCAATCAACCATGTCATAATTATGATAAACCATATTCAACCCATTTAAATGTTGCAAATTATCAAATATCTATTTCAGAAATATTTGAACATCTGAGCTGTTTAGATATGAGTAAGGGATCAGGTCCTGATGGCTTGCCACCTTCCTTATTGAAAACTTGTTGTTTTGTTATATCCCGTCCACTGCATTATCTTTAATGTTTCGCTTCATAATGGAATGTTTCCTAATTACTGGAAATCAAGTTTTACTGTACCGATTTACAAAATCAAGGGACAAATCAAATGTAACTAATTACAGGCCAATATGCATTCAAAGTGTAATTCCTAAACTCTTTGATAGTATTATTACAAAGTACTTATCGAAACTGCTGGATCCTTTCATCATAGATCAGCAGTTTGGTTTCGTTCCAAAAAGTCCACTAAACTTAACCTGTTGTCTTATGTTGATTACTTATCGAATGCCTTGGATTCTAATGATCAAGTTCATGCTACATACACTGATTTTTCAAAGGCATTCGACAGGGTTAACCACAGTTGCTTAATTGGAAAGCTTAGTAACATTGGCATTGGTGGTAATCTTCTGAAATGGATCGAATGCTTTATAACAAACCGCATTCAAATTGTTCGTGTTTCTGGCTTCTTACCTCTGGCTTTACCGCTACATCTGGTGTCCCTCAAGGGTCACATTTGGGACCTCTACTTTTTTAATACATATATAACAATGACATCCAAAATTGTTTTAAGAATTCTCAGTTCCTTTGCTTTGCTGATGATTTAAAAATATTCATGCGTGTAAATTCCTTACATGATTGTATTTGCCTTCAAAAAGACTTGGATAACTTGGTCCAATGGTGTAGTACTAATGGAATGGAATTAAATACAAGTAAATGTCATGCAATCAATTTCAACAGAAAACATAGTCCTATTGAGTATATCTATAAAATCAATGACATAACACTGGATACTGTTACAGAGGTAAAAGATTTGGGTGTGATATTAGATTCCACCCTTTCTTTTCAAACTCATATAACAGCCTCAGTTAATAAAGCATTAAGAATGGTGGGTTTCCTTAGAAAAACTACTTTTGATTTCATAATGTGATGTGTTTAAAGATTCTTTATTGTGCCTTAGTTAGACCTCATATTGAATATGCTTCTTCTGTATGAAATCCGTTTTATGTATATCTAATCCATAATATAGAACAGGTTCAAAGAAAATTTTTACGCATTGTTGCATTTAAATCGGGTATCGTACCGGTCAACTTCAGATACAATTATGACGAATTACACACACACTTTGTCATCTTGAGACCCTTTTGAGCAGAAGAAACCAAAGGGATCTTAAAATATTGATTAACATTATTAACTCATCTGCCGATTGTTCCTACTTGTTTTCTGTACCCTCTAGAGTAACTAGGAATATTAATACATTGTCCCAACCTTTCCATAGAATATATTCCTAGAGAGACAAGATCTGCTAACAGACTAAATGTAGAATGGATTACTTCTCCATCAGATTTTTCTAACCATTTATGTATATGTAAGGAGTAGATTTTTAATTGTTTTTAATATTTATGTATTTAAATTAATTTATTAGTATTTAGGATTTTATTACTATTTAATGTATGTAATATGTATTATCTGTAATTGTATTGTTTTATTGGGCTCTGACCAGTAAATAAATAAATAAAATAAAATATTCTAGAATGCATCTAATCTTACAAGATTAATCGGCATTTTTGTAATAATCTAATTTACTACTGATTTTAAATCTAAATTTCATGTTTTTTACTAGTTATTAACATATTGTGCACACTTCGATATTGTGGCTCACAACAATATCTCTACTTTATCACAAGCTCAAAAGATTTGGCTCTTTTAAGTCTTTGCATTACGTCCTGATTGGACTACTTCAATGTTTGTATTCAAAAATGACAAAGCATTGTTCAGTTACTCTTTATGATCCACTCCGTATAAATAATATATAGTAAACATAAGAACAACAATATATTTCTATTCAATTAGTACATTGCATTACCAAATTTAGAAATCTTACATAAATCAAAGCCAACCCTGGCGGCAGCAAATGCAGCGTAAAGTATTTCGAGTTCCAAGAATAATATACTTTGCACCTGCAACATGGAAATGAAAAATTTTCAGTAATTTAAATACAAGTGCCAACTCTCTCCAACTCGTTAATTTATCTAGTATGGTTTCAGGAAACAAAAATCAACTGAAGATGTTAACACTAACATCTAAAATTACAGAATCTTTAAATTCTACTCGCCCAAGTCTGTGTGTATTTATAGATTTGTTAAAGGTATTTGACAGCGTAAGCCATCAACTTCTTTTACAATCCTTGCACGACATCGGAATTAGAGAAAATATCCTAAATTTATTCCAAAGTTATTTAAGCAACCGATTCCAGATTGTAAAAATAGGTTATGCGCTCAGTGTGCTAAATCAAATAGAATTTGGTGTACCACAGGGGTCGGTACTAGGACCAACGCTCTTTAATATTTATATTAATGAGTTGTTTTCATTAGAAACCAAAGGTAATATTATAGGATTTGCGGATGACACGACCATCTACTACGATGACGAAGACTGGCATTCTTTGAAAAATAAAGTGGAGCAGGATTTTACCCTTATTCTAAAGTGGTTACAATCAAAATTGCTAACAGTTAATGTTTAACAAACTAATTATCTATCGTTTAGCTGCAACTCCAGTAGTATTCCTCACTTTTATCAAATAAATATTAATATTAACAAATTAAATATCTAGGAATTATTATTGATCTTCATCTAAGATGAGACACACAAATTTCACATAATGTAAATAAACTGAGAACGATTTTATATAGATTTAGGTTTATAAAATCATTGTTACTTCTAAAACACCTAAAAACATTGTATTTCTCACTTGTTGAAAGCCATCTTCTGTATGTGATTACATCTTGGGGTGGAGCTTTAAAAACGCACATACATCCGCTTGAGTAATTCAGCGTAGATTTTCAAAAGTAATTTTTGAAAAAAACGCCAGGTATCCAACACAATTGCTTCATGCTGAACAAAAAAATTTTAAATTTAAGACAACTTTTCTTTTTGCGTCTTGTTATAAACAACTTACCGAAAAATAAACTGCCCAATTTCCGTCATATATATACAATACTCGACAAAGGCTTCATTTTGTTGCACCTTTAATATTGAAAAGAATTACACAATTAACATAGCACATAAACCTTACAACATGATTCCTCATGAAATTACAACACTTGTCAGTAAGTTCCTATTCAAAAAAAATTAGGACATTTCACCGTAGAAATTCCCGATGGATGCATAAACCATTTCTTCGGAAAACTAAATGGAGAATGTATTAGATAATACATACCACCACATATCTTCTCATTTTTAGCTATTTTTTATATATTTTAAAATTTGTTTAATTCATTTTAGATTAGTATTTATTATGTTATTGTCTTAACCGACACAAGTGTTTTAGCACTTATCGGTATTCTATCTTTATTCAATGTATTTTTTTTACTTTCGTTAATTATTTTAATTTAGGATATATTTTAGAAATATTTCATGTATTAATATTTAAAAAAAAATACCTATTTTTATATACACCTATTCATTCTCTCACTGTAACCAATTTGCACATGAATAAAGATTATTATTATTAAAATAAATCGTTAAAAACAAACAACGAACAAAATTATGAAACATATTCCGACCTCCAACAGAGCACGACCTTTCGTTTTATTTCTTTTACGTTCACGTCGTTTTTATTTGAAAAAAATAGAAGATGTAAAGTTTTTACCACTCATACAAATTGTAATGTTAGTATGTAATAGAATAGCTTTGTCCCAACATCTCACAAAACCGTAATATTACGGTCATCGTCATGCGCAGTAAATAAAAACCGTTCGACTTTGGGCTTTATTGATAGGTTTTTATTTACTGCGCATGACGATGACCGTAATATTACGGTTTTGTGAGATGTTGGGACAAAGCTAATGTAAAGTTTATAGATTGAATAAACTAGTTAGCTGAAGTAATCATTTTAATTTCAACATTACAAAACAAGTATCAGGCAATTCATCAATAAAAATCAGAGCTACAAGTCATACAGTCCACCCCGCTTTCAGCTGAAGGAACCCTTATTTCGGTGACAAAGGTTTAAAGATAAGGAAATCGACGTCATCTAATTACTCCCTTTAAACACTACTGAGCAGGCTTAAAATTTAGGTGTCATAATCGATAACAAATTGAGATTTACCGATCACCACATATCATTTATATATTAAAGAAGGCATGGAAAATTAAAAGTTATATCGCAATAGACATATTTTAAGTAGAAAACTCAAAATACTCGTCTGTGAATTGCTTGTCCTCTCACAAACTAACCACTGTGACTACGTATATGGTTCCTGCTTAACTTCATGCAGATTGCAGGCTTCAAAATTCTTGTTTACGGTTAATTTTCGGTATAAGAAAATTTGACCCAATTGGTCATACATTAGTAAATGCTTGCGGGCAGAATATGAGGTTACCGCATCACCATTTTAACATTCTTGATTCGAGCACATTATTTTACAACCTTCTACAAGACTCTGAGAGTTTCTAGACTTTCAAAGTCAAACAAGGTAGAAATTAAAAG